AATCCGCACATCCCTGGGCACTACGGGACAATTTAGCACGGCCAATCCACCCTAACCCGCACATCCCTGTGCACTATGGGACAATTTAGCACGGCCAACCCACCCTAACCCACACGTCCCTGGGCACTGGGATCGAACGCGGGCCCCTGGCGCCGTGAGGCAGCGGTGCTAACCGCTGAGCCACCATGGCACCCCGGAATGCCATCCCAAAACGATCAGGGTGAACTGGGCTTGGTAACGGGATAACCTTTTCAGTCCGTTTGTTCTCGCTCTCGCTGCGCACGAACCCTCCCAGTCACCCCCATCTCCCCCAGGAGGGGCACAGGAGGAGTGAGGGAGAGGGAGAGGTGGTGGTGCCTGGTGCTACTGTGTCCAAAGGGGTTCCATTTCGGCTAAAGTTTGCTGCAGGTTCGAAGCCCCATGCCCCGGCACCCAGCCAGAGTATGGGTGCTGTGGGCGAGTGGGTGAGGGGTCTATCGGATCCCGACCCAAGGCCGCCAAATGGTGCGGACCCTCCCACCGCGGAAAAGTTTGCCAGCTTGGCTGCCCAGGGTCGCGGATTCACGCTACAGCACTCCCTCACCCCCAACCCCCACCCACAGGACCACCTCCCACTTCCAGCCGGCAGACGGAAAGCGAAAGACAGAAGGAACCTGAGCAATGTCTTACCTTGATGGAGCTGGTCCTGTTGTGGTTGTTGGGGAGCTGTGGCACAGGTGGGGGGCTCGGTCGATACTGGGAGAGCGTGTGGTAGCTGGGGTTGGCATAGTAATGGATGTAGTTGGGTGGCACGTCTTGGGGGGGGGGGGGGGAGAGGGAGAGAGAGGTCAAAGGGGGCGTCAGAATTGTCCAAGATTCGGTGTCACTCCCAGTCTCGCGTAAACACCGTCTCTCTCATGCACGCGCTGTATTTACAAGAGCAGGTCAGAGGCTGGGAACCCTGCAGCGAGTAACTCCCGTCCCGACTCTCCCCCAAAAGCCCTGTCCCACCATCGACAAGGCAGGAGTGTGAGGGAATACCCCTCCCCCCACTTGCCCTGGATGGGGGGCAGCTCCGACAAACACTCGAGAAGCTCGACACTGCCCAGGGACAAAGCAGCCTCCCCCCCCCGGCTTTGGTTTGCCACAACATCAAAAACACCCACTCACTCCGACACCGACGCTCAGGCACAGAACAGCGTAACATGTAACACCCCCTCAGACATCAACTTCCAAACCCGGGACCCCTACCCCCTGGAGGGGGCAAAGGGGCAGCAGGTACATGGGAACACCAGCCCCCTGCAAGTTCCCCTCCAAGCAGCACCCCACCCCCACCCACACCGTCCCGACTTGGAAATATATCGGCCGTTCCTTCAGGGTCAAAATCCTGGAACTCCCTCCCTAAGGGTGCTGTGTGGGGTGGGGTGGGGTTGGTGGGGGGTGCAGTGTTGCAGTGGTTCAAGATGGCGGCTCACCCCCCACTTTGATTCCTCCAAACTTCATTTTGTTTCGGTTGCTCTGTGAAATCCACACCCAGAACCAGAGATAAGTGTATCAGCACAGACACCCAGCTCAGAGGGAAGTAGACTAACCCCGTGCTGTCCCTGTCCCTGGGAGTGTTTGATGGGGGGGACAGTGTAGAGTGAGCTTTACTCTGTATCTAACCCCATGCT